ACCCTAAACTTAAAATCATATGCCCTATATTAGGCCTACGTAACCCTAAATCTTAAGAAATCCAAATTCTTAAAAATACCTAACATACCCTAAAAATTTAAAAACCTTAATCATAAAAAAAAACCATAAACTCTAAAAAACCCTTAACCTAAAATACGAAGCACTAAATCCTAAACCAAAAAACCCTAAGAAACTCTAAGTCTTAAACCCTAATACCCTAAAACCTATGATCCTAAACCCTAAATCCTAAAAAATCACTAAGAAAACCTAAACCCTAAAAAACCTAAAAAAAAAAACTTTAAAACCCCTAAACCTAAAGAACCATAAATCCCAAACTCTAAACCTTGAACCCTAAACCCTTAAATATCATAAGCCCAAAATCCAAACCCAAAACCCAAAAAAGCACTAAGAAACCCAAAACCCTAAAAAACAACAAAGAAAAACTTATAAAACATTAAAACCTAGAAAACCTCTAAAAAATCTTAAACCTAACAAACCTAAATCCTAAACCATAGAAAAACCCTAAACCTAAACACTAAACCCTACACCCTAAATGACACATAAAAATCCTAGGAGACCTTAAATGTTAAACTCAAACCCTAAGAAAACCAAACCCTAAACCTTAGGGATAAACCCCCAACCCTAAGCCTTATGAAACTCTAAGAAGCCCTAAATCCTAAAAAAAGCTAAACACTTAAAACCTTTAAAACCTAAACACTAAACCCTAAATGACCCAAAAAAAACCTAGGAGGCCTTAACTGTTAAACTCAAATCCTAAGAAACTTAAACCCTAAACCTTAGGGATAAACCCCAAAACCTAAGCCTTATGAAACTCTAAGAAGCCCTAAATCCTAAGAAACGCTAAACACTAAAAACCTTTAAAACCCTAAAACTAAAAATCCCGAAAACAAATCTGAAAAACCCTAAAAAAATTCCTTCATCTAAAACCCCAAATCCTAAGCCCTTAGAGCTCATATATCGTAGAAACAATAATGATCCTAAAAAAACTTTAACAATCCTAAATTGAAAAAAACTCTTGACCGAATTTTTTTTAGAAAAACTTAAGCTCTAAACCCTAACATAAAAACCCTTAACCAAATACATAAACTCTTCTTAATCATGTTCAGATTATATCATTGTTCAATATGCTCTATTCAGTTATATATATTTGTTCAGCTTTATGATGTCATGCATGCTCAGAATCATTCAACTACTGATACATAGTCTACGCTACATCTTCTCTTGATGTAGGTTCAGGTCTTTAGCATTCAGATCAAGCGGAGATCGGTTCCCGATCCGTATTCAGCAATATCAGTGGTGAGTCCTCATTTTTCAAGGATGATTTACATGTTTTATATTTAGTCTTTCATTTTAGTTTCAGTTTTGCTAGAGTTAGTTGGGGGCATGTCCCAGCATCTCTAGTCAGTTATAGGCTTTTATTCATACATTATTTTTGTCACTCCCCAAGGTTACCCGCTTGACGTAACACGAGACCTAGTATCACGAGTGACCCCAAGCTAACCTTGAGTTGACATATCATAAGCATATTAGATCAACACCTTTAAAAGCCTAAACCTAAGAATGACAATCTTTTACTGGTGATGAAAACATAGAAGGTACAAGTGAACAAGCTCAGTTCTTGGGAAATCTGAAAGAGTTTCTGAAAGATGGAATTGAAAAAAGTCATTCAAGCAGACTATTCTATGCGTAAAATTCTTTTTGGATAGGTTTAAGTTGTGTTGTTTCAGCACAATTTCACCACAAATAAGCTCCACAATTTAGTACATGACACTTAAAATAAAAATGCAGTTTTCAGCACATTCACATTTTCAGCGCACATTCAAAAAATTCTACAGATTTTGGCAAGCACTCTAAAAACTTCACAATAATAATCTGTACAATACATCATAATCTACACAAAAATAATATGCACAATGCTCACATCTGCATTGAGCAGGCAAAGAAAGTCACCAACTGAACCTCCAACGTAAATTGTACTAAACTATAGTAACTCATGGAAGGTCTTTGGTTTAACCCTCCATATCACCATCAATAGGAAAATGAAGAAGAAGAGCAAAAAAAAGAGTCGCAATAGAAAAATAAACAAAGTCGCAACAGAGAAAGGAAATAGAGTTGCAAGAGAAACATAAAGAAGAAGAAGAAACACTCAAAACATAGAATTAGCGACACCAACCTTGCTCAGCTCCTTGAACAGAAGTAGGTTCACTTGGTGAAGGAATGGACAATGCTGCCAGTATGTTAGGATCAATTAATCCCGCATGCTTGAGTTGTGCAATTACATCTGCAATAACTTCTTGTCGCACAGTTTTCTTTTGTTCCTCCATTTGTTTCTCCATTTTCTGCATCATTTCTTGCATTTGCTGCATTCCATCAGTTGTTGCATTTAAAGTTGATTCTGAATTGCCAACTTTTTTTTCAAAGTAGTCTTTGTAACTCCTACTCCATATAGTCTTAGGCGTCCCGGATGTTCAGGACCCATGACGGTTGAAAATGCATCAACATACTAGTCATTTGTGCTCATTTGTTTTTCAATTTCCTCCATTTCAGCCTACAAAAGCATATCCAACAAACACAATCTTATAAATTAAAATTTAAAATAAATAACTTATCTCAATTTAAAAATTGAAAATAGACAGTACTCATACAATTTTACTAGTAGTATTTTCATTCGAAGCCTTGTACAAACGCCGGGTTTTCTTGTTCTTGTAACCACAAAGAGATCCTTAGATGATACTGTCTCCTTTTCTTTCTCCTAGTCATATTGCAATGTGTATCAGAAATTGTTTAAATGTCATGTTAATACTAGACAGTAAATAAGAGAACACACCAGCTTATTACGGACTAAAGCGAAACTCTTTTTGCCAGCAGTGTGTGGATTCATCAGCTTTTTTCGATTCTTAGTATTTGTTTCAGACATTTTCTACAAAGAAGTGAATCAATAATGTTAATCGAAAGAATATTAGTGCTATATAGTGTACTAGACGAGGTCATTTTCTCAATATTTCTTTTTCAACAAGTCCAACTGAATAAAAAGAGTGAGTAGACAGATTTGGAAGACTGCAACAATTTTCAAACTCACAACATGAGCGAATCAATAATGTGTCTTGTAAACAAGTTGTTTTAATTGTGACTTCCACACCAATGAAGAAAGAAGCTGTAACATATTACAACATAAAAGAGAAAGTAAAAGAAAAAATAAAGCAGAAGCAGCAACGATATCACAAAAGAGACCACGAAATGAGTAAGCTGAAAATTTGATATTCTAAACTACATTTTTACCTTGAATTTTTCAGACTTCCAATATTTGAGGAGCTCTCTAAATTGACATTCTGGAATATGACCAGGCCTGTTTTCCATTCGAACTTCATCATTATCATATGGATCGTAATAAGTCATTTTCAAATCACTTCTATGTCTTCTCCAAGCTTCTCGAATTGTTACCATAGTCCAATTGTACGCAGGTTCAGGAATAATGTATTTCTCCTATAATTTTGTGTCATTCGCTTAGCCAATAGAAGTAAAATACTTTTACAAATAATTTAATATTGTAAACTACAAACCTTGGTATAATCCCATAAATCTTGTTTAGTGTCCATGCTCCTCCAATCTAATATATCAAATGGGCAAAGAGTCGCATTTCTAGCCAATGTTCCTAGGAAGCTGCTTAATTCTATGACAACATCATCAGTAGGACCAACAGGCTGATTTTCCCTATTAAGTAGGATCAATTTACGCTCTTTTCGGGCATGTACATTATGCATTTGAGTTCTACCTCTTTTATTTTGAGTGGAAACGTCTTCAGCTATAAGAAAATGCAAGAAATATAATTAGAAATCATGGATACATTTAATAAGTTTCTAAGCTTATATGCTACCTTGTTCTTCAGGTTGATCATCTGTTTGAGGAGTGACATAATTCATTTGCACTTGATCCACAGAAGGCAGCTCCTCGACAGGCTGATCCTCGACAGGCTGCTCCTCGACAGGCTGCACCTCTACAGATTGTCTATTTGCTTCAGATTGTGGTGCTATTGGTTGTTGCACTTCAAGTAATTTAAGCAAATGTCCTTTCTCGCACTCTATAGCTTGAACAATTTCATTTGTTGTCAATAACCGCCGTTTCTTATTTGCCAAGAATGATAACGATCCTGGTTTAGCGAATGTCTTATTTTTTGGTTTTTTGTTTTTTTTTTAAGGTTCTTGTTGACTCATGACTATTCAAACCTGTGTAAAAATAGGACTACAGAAGTTATAGAAGTTGTACTATTCACCAAGGTCTTACCAATAACATTTTTTATCTGTAAAATTTGAAACCAAATATTTAACTCTATTTAATAATCATATCAATTTTATGAAACAAAGAGCTGAAAACAAAATGTACCCTTAAGTAGCAGCAGTAGCAACAACATATTATCAAGAGCTTAGAAGAAAATAAATATAAAACTAGTTTGAACTAGTTTGAAATCCAACTTTTGAAAGTCTGCTACTTAATGACCTCAATGGGATTTCAAAGAAATGACAGAAGATGTAAAGAAGTATTAGCAAAGAAATATTCAAAGAATCATAATAAAGAGATAAGAACCTGGTGTTTTGGACCTTAATAAAGAGATAAGAACCTGGTGCTTTGCTGGTATACTGTGATGTTGAAGATTGCTCAGAGAAACTGCAGAAAGAAGAATAATAAAAATGAATAAGAGAGAAAAAAGACTTAGCAAAAGTACTAATCCCAAAACAAGAAATGAAGGACCACAAAGAAAGATTTCATAACATATCCAACAATTTTTAGCACATGTGCATTATTGAAGTTGCAGTAATTTAGAGATAACTTGAAAATGAAACACATTAATAGAAACAAAAAGAAGAGATAGCAAGTCCAATCATTCATAATTTATATGATGCAACTCAAAAGGATATTCATTACTTACAACAACAAAAAAAACAAGAAGAGCATGTATTTGAACAAGTTCACAAGATCTTTTGTCAATCATCAGCTTCCATCCAATCCCAATCAGTATCATCAAAGTCATCCTCCTCTTCCGATGTTTCCATTGCTACATCTTGTGAATGTTGTGCAATGGAAGGAACATCGATGATATCAACAGGGAGATCTTCTCTCGACCATCTAACATCTACATCAAGTAATCTTTCTGATGAACCAATATCATCATTAGGCTCTCTCCAAAATGTTTCTTCAATATTAGGACAACTCTCTTCCTCCAAATCATACAAATCCACTGGGACTTTGTCTTGCATAATAAACATTTTTCTCAATTGGGTCTTCCACATAAAAAACTTGATGCACTTGAGATGCTAGTACAAAAGGATCATCTGTACTACATTTTTTTTTTGAAGTATACCCGAGTCAATCCATATTCATCGACTTCATTATGAAACCAATCACATTTAAAAAGTACAACACTAAAGCAACCCCAATTATCAATCTCAATGATATCCTGAATAATTCCATAATAGATAACCATTCCATCGACGGGATTTTGGTCCCTAGCACTAGCAAAACTATCTGTTGTTGCTGACAAAGTCACTCCATTATTTTGAGTTTTGCAAGGGGCATCCCGTGTCTTCGTATGAAATTGATATCCATTAATGAAATATCTAGTATATCTTTTTGCCACAAAGTTAGGCCCTTTAGCTAGCCATCTTATATGATTGGACACTTCAATATTTTTAACTTTGTTCCTAAACCAATCACCAAATTCTCTACTATGGACCCGTGCTTTTACCCATGCATTTCCTCTAGTACGATTATCAATTAAACTCTTATGTTCCCTGTAAGCATGTAATGTAATTTCATCAATGTGTATTTATAAATGAAATGAAATCTGAAATACATTATCATAACATCTAAATGATGTTTAAAAACAAACTACTATTTTATCTTACTTGATGAATGTCTCTACTTGTTCATCTCCGGTATTGAACAAAGTATATCGATGTGCTTCAAACCACTCATGTTGCTCCATGATAATAGATTTGCCTTTCCTTATATTCTCACTTCCGATTGGATGACCTGTCTTAGGAAATAAAGGTGAAACATCACCTTCCTCTGTTTGAATGTCCTCATCATCCTCCGTTTGATACCTACTTAATCTTGTCTTCACCGTATTAGGTAGGTGTATCGAACAGAAGTTCAAACAATCTACAGCTGAAAAACCTTCTACTATTGATCCTTCTGGATTTTTTCGATTACGAACAAGCTCCTTGAAATTACACATAGTTCTTTCAGTAGAATACATCCAACGCAAATGAGTTGGGCCTCCAAGCTTAATTTCATCTACTAGATGGATAGGCAAATGTGTCATTATATCAAAAAAAGACGGAGGAAAAATCTTTTCAAGCTCGCATTCAATATCTATGTTTTCTGTTTTCATCTTATCAAGATCGTTTCTTCTTATAACCTTGCTACATATGGCTCTAAAAAAATTCCCCAACCTAATCAAGACCATAGATACATTCTTGGGTAACACTTTTCTGACTGCAACCTGGAGCAAGTAATGCATTATGAAATGAGCATCATGACTTTTGTATCCTGATACTTTCATCTCTTCAATTTGAACATGACTTGATATATTAGAGGCACACCCTTTTGGTAATTTGGCATCTTTTAAGACGGTGCAAAATAACTTTTTCTCTGATGGTTTCATAGAGAAACAAGCTTTAGCTAGATGGATATTTCCAGTAGCACAATCTTTTACAGGTTGAAGCTCTTTACATATCCCCATTTCATACAAGTCATAGCGAGAATTTATATGATCTTTGGACTTTCCAAGTATATCCAATAAAGTCCCAAGTAAACTGTCACAAATATTCTTCTCTATGTGCATCACGTCAAGATTGTGCCTCAATTTGTTGGTTGCCCAATACGGCAACTCAAAAAATATGGATTTGTTTTTCCATGGACCATCATTCTTTCGTTTTCTTTTCTTGTTGTTCTTTCCAAAAACATTATTGAATTCACGAAGCTCTTCAAGAACTTGTACCCCTGATAATGGAGTAGGTGCAACTTTATGCTCCTCTTTACCATTAAATGATTTTTTATCTCTTCTAAATGGATGATCGGAAGGTAAAAATGCCCGATGACCCAAGTAACACATCTTACGACTATGTTTGAGATATTGGGAACAAGTATTATGATTACAAGTGGGGCATGCCCATCTCCCCTTGGTGCTCCATCCAGAAAGCATTGTTAGAGCTGGAAAATCACTAATTGTCCACAATAAAGCTGCACGCATTTGAAATGTTTGATTAGTTACAACATCATATGTTTCAAGTCCGACTTCCCATAGTTCCTTCAACTCCGCAATCAGTGGTTGCAAGTATACATCTATATCATTTCCTGGAGATGATGGACCTGGAATAATCATTGACAACATAATATTCTCCGACTTCATGCAACTCCATGGTGATAAATTATAGTTCATTAACATAACTGGCCATGTGCTATGGGAAATGCTCATAGTTCTGAATGGATTGAAACCATCACTTGAAAGACCCAATCTAACATTACGAGCATCATTAGCAAATTCAGGATGCAAGGAATCGAAATCCTTCCAAGCTTCACCATCTGCAGGATGTCTTAAATTTCCATCTTTAGGTCGTTCAGTATCATGCCATCTCATAGCTACAGATGTTTCAGAACACATGAATATCCTCTGAAGCCTAGGCTTTAAAGGAAAGTACCTTAAAACCTTCACTGGGATTTTAGTGACCTTATTAGTTAAGTCATTACGAACATTCTTCCATCTTGAAGCTCCACACACAGAGCAATTATCTAACTTAGCATTGTCATTCCAAAATAACATGCAATCGTTAGTGCAAGCATGGATTTTCTCATAATGAAGACCCAAATCTTTTATGACCTTTTTTGCCTTGTAAAAAGACTCGGGTATCTGAGCAAGTGGAAATGCCTCTCTTATCAAGTCCAACAAATCTGAAAAGGCCACATCAGTCAACTTGTGAATGCATTTGAACAAGTATAACCGGATGGTAAAACTCAACTTAGAAAAATTCTTACACCCCGGATACAACTCTTCTTTCCCTTCCTCCACTAATTTAGAAAATCTCTTTGCATATTTAGATGGTCCCTCTCTCACTCCTTCATGCCTCTGGTCATCTTCTACATTTCTAAAAGTATTATGAAGTAGTCTGTCAATATCATCATTCATGTTGGAAGTTTCTTCATCATTGGTTGGATGTGGCGTATTTCTTGAGGAAAATCCTTCTCCATGAAAAACCCATTTGGTATATCCATGAACAAATCCATGACAAATTAAGTGACCCTCTACCATATCTCGACAATGCCAATTACGATTAAAGCACTTCTTACAAGGACATAATATTTCATTTCCTTGGGAAGCTCGTTCAAATGCTTTATCAAGAAAATCATTAACTCCATGAATATATTCATTGGTGGATCTTCGGAGATTCATCCAACTTTTATCTCCAAAATCCATTGAATATATATATCTTACATGACATGTGCAAATCATCAAAGCCAATAAATTCATGAGTACAAGAAATATCAAGAGAACTTAACCTTTCAAAGTTTTAGATTAATCGAATCTCAAACCTCCGCATCAATTCAACACCAAACAATGGCAGTATTAATAGTAGAATCCAAAAAATATTGATAAGTTAAGTTATTACCAGCTTCTACCATTTAAGAAACTTTATACAAATGAATGAAAAAAAATCAGAAGAAAAACTAATTATAGAAAAAAGTATTCCAATATTCAGTGTACACCTTAACATTTTTGTAATTCTAATTACCTTCCTATGCTTGGCTACTAAGATACAATAATAGTAGACCAAATACTTCAAATTGTGTATTATTTTTTTGGCCAAATGTCTAATGTTTGTTGTATAAGCTAAACTTTTTTATATGATTCTCTTTAGAGTTTAGACTGTTAAAGAAATCGGACAGTTGACGATTGCACCAATACATACACACTGTTAATTAGAAGAGTTTCACCTATCCTATGCATGCTACTCTCACAATCAAAAATTGCAACAGAATCATAAATAAATAGTGTAATCAGAATCTTCATTTACATAGCTGCCCCTGAAATGGATATTAGCATCAAAAGGTAGAGGGAATAAACTCAAACGCATACAAGAAGTAAATTCAGTGAAATTCTCTTAGACTCTAGCATGAAAATTCTTCCTGAAATTTTCAAATCTGATCAGTCCAGCATATTCAGTTTATTGTATAGAAAAAGATGACAAGTATCTTAGACTTCTTTTTACCTGAAATATGTCCTGTGCGTGATTTTTAGGGGAAAAAGTCAACTACAAATCTAAATTTCTCTCATAAAACTAAAATTCACTCTTCCTGTGCGTGATTTTAGGGGAAAAAGTCAACTACAAATCGAAATTTCTCTCATAAAACAAAAATTCACTCTCTCAAAGACTTTTGCTTGAGAGTTCTCAAATCTCCACCAAACACGAAATACAAACTATAACCCTAGATTATATGGCAGACCTAGATTAGAACAAATAACATAGATTTAAGACAAACCCATATATTATTCTTTACGATTTTTCAAAAATCATTCAATGGGGACTTAGAAATCATTAACTAGCAGAGAAAACATAAAATTTACTCACCTTTACATCCAAGAATTTGTTGTCGAAAGACCAGTGGAGCTTCAACTAAAGTAAAAGATATCAATGCCCAAGAAATTTGCTATCGAAAGACCAACGAGCTTCACCAGAGAGATTTCTTCACCAAGAACTTCGCTGTTGTTTTCTTCACCAAGAATTTCGCTGAGATTTTGTAGAACAGAACAACATTAGGGAAAAAGTGTGCTTTAATTTGGTTGAAAAAGGGTTTTATGGGAAAGGCCTTTTTTCTTTTAGATTTTTTTAATGACATAAAAACAATTGGCGCTTTGCAAATTTAGTGGAGGGAAATATATATTTTTGGGGAGGGAAATATATTTTAGGGATAAAAATCAGAACCACAATATTTTTCCTAAAATAACCGTTGCCATAGAGTCATCTATTGCAACGATTCTAAAATCGGTAGCCATAGAAACTCTATAGGGACGGCTATAGGGATGATGCCACGGTTCATTTTAAGAATTGTTCTATTAAATCCAATGATATACTGCAACAGTTATAACCGTTGTAATAGGCAATCTATTGCTACGATTGTGTAACCGTTGCTACATAAGCGTTGCAGTAAGTCAAATTTTTAGTAGTGCCCCAACCCTAAGCCTTATGAAACTCTAAGAAGCCCTAAACCCTAAGAAACGCTAAACACTAAAAACCTTTAAAACCCTAAAACTAAAAATCTCGAAAACAAATCTTAAAAACCCTAAAAAAATTCCTTAATCTAAAACACCAAGTCCTAAGCCCTTAGAGCTCATATATCGTAGAAACAATAATGATCCTAAAAAAAATTTAACAATCCTAAATTGAAAAAACTCTTGACCGAATTTTTTTTAGAAAAACTTAAGCTCTAAACCCTAACCTAAAAACCCTTAACCAAATACACAAACTCTTCTTAATCATGTTTAGATTATATCATTGTTCAATATGCTATATTCAGTTATATATATTTGTTCAGCTTTATCATGTCATGCATGCTCATAATCGTTCAAGTACTGATACATAGTCTACTCTAAATCTTCTCTTGATGTAGGTTCAGGTGCTTAGCATTCAGATCAAGCGGAGATCGGTTCCCGATCCGTATTCAGCAATATCAGTGGTGAGACCTCATTTTTCGAGGATGATTTACATGTTTTATATTCAGTCTTTCATTTTAGTTTCAGTTTTGCTAGAGTTAGCTGGGGGCATGTCCCAGCATCTCTAGTCAGTTAGAGGCTTTTATTCATACATTGTTTTTGTCACTCCCCGAGGTTACCCACTTGACGTAACACGAGACCTAGGATCACGAGTGACCCCAAGCTAACCTTGAGTTGACATATCATAAGCATATTAGATCAACACCTTTAAAAGCCTAAACCTAAGAAATCTGAAATCCCTAAGAAACCCTACCCCAAGAAACACTAAATCCTAAACCTTAGGGAAACCCCAAGACTTATGAAACACCATCAAACCCTAAAGCCTAAAAATACCTTTAAAAACACTAAACCTAAAAACACCCTTAAAATCCCTAACCCCTAAAAATGCTAAATTTAAAATCCTAAGGCCTAAACCCAAAGAAACCCTAAGCCGTAAGAACCCCTAAACAGTAAAAAATCATAACAATCAAGAAAACCCCTTTTAAAATCCGAAACCTTAAAGAACTCTGAACCTAAAAAATTCAATAAAAACTTAAGCCCTAAACCTTAAAAACCCTTGAATAAAAACATACACCTTATACCCAAAGAATCCCTAAACCCTTCTGCCTAAACATTAGGACTAAACCCTAAGAAACCCTAAACATTAAGAAATAAAAAAAACCCTAAAAAGCTTTTGAAGCCCTAAACTTTTAAAAACCCAAAACCCTATAAATCCCCTAAGGTCTAAGAACCCCTTAATCGTTAAAAAACCATAGAAATCCTAAACACCTTCAAACCGTAAATCTAAAAATTCCTCTAAACTTAATAAAACACTAGAAAATCTTAAGCCCAAAACCCTTAAAAAAACCAAACCCTAAGAAATCCTAAACGCTAAATAATATACCCTAAGAAACTCTAAATCCTTAACTCTAAATCATAGGGCTAAACATTAAACCCCAAACCATATGGAATCCTAAGAAACCCTAAACCCTAAAATCCATTTAAACACCTAAAACTATAATACCCGGAAAAAAAAAACTTCTTTAAAACCATAAGCCCTAGAAAAAACCCTAAACTTAAAATCCTATGCCCTATATTAGGCCTACGTAACCCTAAATCTTAAGAAATCCAAATTCTTAAAAATACCTAAGAAACCCTAAAACATTTAAAAACCTTAATCATAAAAAAAAACCATAAACTCTAAAAAACTCTTAACCTAAAATACGAAGCCCTAAATCCTAAACCAAGAAACCCTAAGAAACTCTAAATCGTAAACCCTAATACCCTAAAACCTATGATCCTAAACCCTAAATCCTAAAAAATCACTAAGAAAACCTAAACCCCTAAAAATCACTAAGAAAACCTAAACCTCAAGAACCATAAATCCCAAACTCTAAACCCTAAAAAACCTAAAAAAAAAATTTTAAAACCCCTAAACCTAAAGAACCATAAATCCAAAACTCTAAACCTTGAACCCTAAACCCTTAAATATCATAAGCCCAAAATCCAAACCCAAAACCCAAAAAAGCATTAAAAACCCAAAACCCTAAAAAACAACAAAGAAAAACTTAAAGAACATTAAAACCTAGAAAATCTCTAAAAATCTTAAACCTAACAAACCTAAATCGTAAACCATAGAAAAACCCTAAACCTAAACACTAAACCCTACACCCTAAATGACCCAAAAAAAACCTAGGAGACCTTAAATGTTAAACTCAAACCCTAAGAAACCCAAACCCTAAACCTTAGGGATAAACCCCCAACCCTAAGCCTTATGAAACTCTAAGAAGCCCTAAATCCTAAAAAAAAGCTAAACACTTAAAACCTTTAAAACCTAAACACTAAACCCTAAATGACCCAAAAAAAACCTAGGAGCCCTTATATGTTAAACTCAAATCCTAAGAAACTTAAACCCTAAACCTTAGGGATAAACCCCCAAACCTAATGCTTATGAAACTCTAAGAAGCCCTAAACCATAAGAAACGCTAAATAATAAAAACCTTTAAAACCCTAAATCTAAAAATCCCGAAAACAAATCTTAAAAACCCTAAAAAAATTCCTTAATCTAAAACCCCAAGTCCTAAGCCCTTAGAACTCATATATCGTAGAAACAATAATGATCCTAAAAAAACTTGAACAATCCAAAATTGAAAAAAATCTCTTGACCGAATTTTTTTAAGAAAAACTTAAGCTCTAAACCCTAACCTAAAAACCCTTAATCAAATACCTAAACTCTTCTTAATCATGTTCAGATTATATCATTGTTCAATATGCTCTATTCAGTTATATGTATTTGTTCAGCTTTATCATGTCATGCATGCTCAGAATCGTTCAACTACTGATACATAGTCTACGCTACATCTTCTTTTGATGTAGGTTCAGGTCCTTAACATTCAGATCAAGCGGAGATCGGTTCCCGATCCGTATTCAAAAATATCAGTGGTGAGTCCTCATTTTTCGAGGATAATTTACATGTTTTATATTCAGTCTTTCATTTTAGTTTCAGTTTTGCTAGAGTTAGCTGGGGGAATGTCCCAGCATCTCTAGTCAGTAAGAGGCTTTTATTCATACATTATTTTTGTCACTCCCCGAGGTTAACCACTTGACGTAACACGAGACCTAGGATCACGAGTGACCCCAAGCTAACCTTGAGTTGACATATCATAAGCATATTATATCAACACCTTTAAAAGCCTAAACCTAAGAAATCTGAAATCCCTAAGAAA